AACCTACAACAGGGGTTAACAAACCCTGAGTACTTGAGGGTACTCAACAAGACTTACCCGACTAAAAGAAAAGACTTCAAGGGCATGCAGGCTTAAAGGTAAGGTAGAAGCAAGAATAACTTTTGCAGAAAAGCTTACTATGAGTGGATCCTTACTTTCAATATTTTAGCTATGTATTGAGTCATTATCAGTATCCGATTTGCATCTAGTCTAAACCAATCACTTCATTAACCATCTCATCTCATATTCATCTCTTATTCATAAGTAACCATGTTCCATTGATTAACTACGATGTATATTGGGGGATCGAGTCTCCATAACCGAGGAGCACGACGATTCGAATCAATTAGGCCCAGCTGGGGTTTCCTTACCACACGACATATGCAGGTCCTAGACCCACATATATCAACCTTCACTCGGATCCTCCAAAACCAGAACGGGTTCACACCACTCGAGAGCACAGTACTCCACCGCCCTACCCTATTCTAGTAGGGTGGGTACACGGTACTCTCACCATCTCTCCACTCCCAGTGCATGGTTGTCCTTTCTAATAATGGAATAGCCAAGATCTTAGGCTTACCGGAGTATGTGGCCAGTACTGCAAGGTCTCGAACACGACATGTCTGCAACAGACGGTCCTTGATCGACACAAACGAGACAAGCTCGACCAGGCAACCCTATCGGCTTAACCACCAGAGACATAACCCATGTCTCGTCCGGTCTCAATTTAACATTAACCTTATCATGGTATTACCATGACCCAATAGCAGAGCCGAGAAGAGCAAGGTAAACATGTTTGTCTCGAACGATGAAACCATCATTCGACTTCTATCGAAGTCTAAGCATTACTAAGTATCAGAGATATCGACTTATTCATACTAACAGGGAAGAACTACGGATACCTAAAAATTAAGGTAATCATGCAGCAACGGTATCTGATCAACTCCTAATTACTTAATGCACATCTCACAAGACTTAAAGTGTAATAAAGATTTATAAAACTAAGAGAGGGTTTATGATCCGGGGCTTGCCTTAGTTAGTAGAGGTGTTAGGTTCTTCTGGTGAACCACAAATGTCGAACCTAATTTCCACCGATGGTTGTTCTTCCGCTGGGATTTGATCGACGGCAACCTCCTCTCCTTCGGTCACTACACGTAGATAATGATGCATGCTCAACATAAAAGAAGTGCTTGAGATGATGCATGACAATGCCTTGGTGACAGCATACCAAACTTAATTAACTTGAATATAACTTTCATTCACGGCACTATTAAGTTGATTAGCACAAAGCAGTTTTAGTTATTATTATCATTATCACTAAGTTGATTATGATCATAACAAGAAAGTGATTAAGCTACCAAGGAACATCAAAGGGGTTAGTGTTCCAAGGTCCACAATCAACTCCAAAAATTCACCCAAATCATTTCATGATTTATGCTAATCATTTTAATATTTATTAACTAATTAACTAAGCATATAATTAAGGATATAATTAAACATCATCAAATTAATCCCAAACTTTTTGTATAGGTTGATCTTAGCATAAAACAGTTACACAAAAAGTTTCACAACTAAAGGATATTTATTTTAGCCTACAAAAATCATGGAACAAGCATTTATTAATTAAAAGAGCTAACATCTAAAAACTATTGTTTTTCATGGTTTCATATTTTTACTACATAGAGCACATCATTAAGAGGCTACACAAAAAGTTTCATGATTTTATCACACTTCTAAAATTAGTTATGAAATTCACAATTTTTAGCTGAAAATATAAAAAGAAAAAGAAAAACCCTATAGCGTACCGTTCGTATGAGTCACGGCTTCTGGAGAAAACACCCTGGAAGAGCTTCTATTTGCGCGCGAAGTCCCTGGTCGCGATTTGAGCAGAGGAGACGCACGGCGAGGCTCGGTTCCGGCCGGTTGATGCTCGTCGTCGGAGAGGGAGAGGTGCTGGGGCATGCTTGGGCCTGTGCGCACCCGATGGTATCCACGGCTTGCCCCACGATGGCCCGAGGAGGTATGGCTGCGCGGACAACGGCACCGGCGGCAGCGGCCTCCATGGCGAGGTCGCAACGGTGAGGGAGGCGCAGGGGAAAGGAGCTAGGGAGGAGCGGCGCGAGGTGGGGAAGATGTAGGCAGCGCTGTTTCGAGTCGAGTCGGCCTACAGAGACGAGGACGGGCGGTGACCATAGGAGCTCGGTGGCCGTCCAAGGCGGACATGGTCGGTGGCGGTGCTCCGGCGGCTCCGGCACGCGGCTGATAAAACAGAGAGGCATATGAGCATCGCGAGGTCATAAGAGAACTAAATCAGCAAATGAGGGAGCAAGAGACGCATCGGAGAAGGCTGGACACAATGGAGCAGTCCACGGCAGCCATGTTGGACCGCCGCGAGGGACACGGCGTGCACGGCCGAATTCGGCAGCGAGGAGCGGCGCGATCTGGTCAACGCTAGGGAAATAAGAAGCTGCAGGAGAGAGCTATAGGGCGGAGGCAGAGCAGCCATGGCAAATTTCGCCGGCGCGTCGAGTTCGCCGGCGGCGAAGCAGAGAGAGGAAGAAAAGAGAGAGCGGCCGACGTCGGGCTTTAAACGATGAGGGGGCGAACTCCAGCACGTCTACATCTTCGCGAGCTTGGCCACGCAGGCGTCCGCGTGGGAAATGCCGCGAAGGCGCGGCCAAACGCCGCATGGCGGTGACGAGGCAGGCGAGCTGCTGCTGCCGGTTTTACTGTTCACAGCCTGAAACCCCAAATTCAGCTCACTTGTTCTCTCGATTGGATGTGGAAACGTGGTCATCTACTTTAACAAAAGTTATTCATCCATCTCTGATCTCCATCTTTGCTTAAAGAATCATCCTCTAAAGATCGATGGTTTTGAAGATTTTGAATTTTGAAAACAGGTACTTCAAACTAAAAACTAAAATTCAGTTAAGGTTTTTGAAATTGTTTCAGTTAAGCAACTTTGGACAATTAATTAGAGGCTCAATACAGTTCAACCAACACAACTAATTACACATTATCAGGGATTTAGACAAAAATTGACTAAGTTTGAAAATCAGCCTCAAATCCAATCTTTGGGCTCTAATTTAAGCATATTTGATTTGGAAACATAACTCATCTTTGATTCTATTTGAAAGTACATATTTTGTACTACAAAGTTTACATTGGCACAACTTTAGTTATTTAAGAAAATTTCAAACCATAAAATCATAAAGTACCTTAATTGATGATGTTGATAACATTTCATGCTCTCTCATAACAAGACATATGCAACAAATGGAGGCTAAAATTGAAACATGAAATGCTTATATGACGCAATGCTTGATGATTATGCATAATGATGATCACGATTAGGGTTTTATTAATTTCATAACACCTAGGGTGTTATGGTCTGCCTCCGAAAATGGCCACCATTTTTAAAGGCCTCCTTAAAAGGCTAGCCTCCGTAAATCTATTTTAGGAGGCGGTTATTTTTTGACCGCCTCCATAAATCGATTTTGCGAGGCGGACAATCCTGACCGCCTCCATAAATAAAAATGCCCGCCTCCGGAAATCCCTTGGTATTTTACGAGGCGGTTGGATTTTATGACCGTCTCTCGATTAATAAAAGTGCACCGTCTTGTAAAATCATTTGTGTAGTTGTGATAGTAGGTACTTGGGGGTGCATGGGCTTAGAAAGATTTAGCCTAGGGTTCTAGTAGAGATGGCACCTGCAGAGAAGATGGTGGTAGCACTGGATTTTGCATTGAGGCGTTGGGTTGTAGATAGCCAAGGTACATGTCAAGCTATAAGTTAGTGGATTCAGTCCTAAATTGATATGCTACGTATACATAGGGGCTACATTATAAAAAGTCCACACCTAATAATAATATGTTGACCACACGCTTCTGAGACCACCGACACACACACCTTGCTGTCGACAAGCACGGCATCTACCGCTAAAAGAACCACTAACGTCGCCAAATTCTAAAACAAATTTAGGAAAGTGTGAGCACCCATGACTTAAAGTTGGGTGGATAGGTTCCACCACACAAGAAAGCCAATCATCTAAGCTACACTCAGTTCACAATATACGGGTTTGAAAGAGTGCACTATGAGTTTTGTATCTTTCTCTTCGTTGATACAAGATTTTAAGGTCGGAAAGCACTATATGCGATCCCTTCTTGTTGTTCTAGGTTTCAAGTATCTCTGGATCATGATTGCCGTGTAATGGTATCCATCATCAATCAAATTGCCCAACGCCGGCACCATTTTTCGTGGACAAAGAAAGCTGAAAATGGGCCCTAATTTGTTTAGCCAGTAGCCAGCCCATTTTGTGACTGGGCCATCAGCAAGATCATTTAGTGTCCTGGGCCTGATATCGCCAGAACATGCCAAGAAGCACTGACAAAAGATGTGTGTCCATGTGGCCCATTTCCCTCAGCTGATTTCTTTGTTTCTTTTCTTCTGTTTTTTCGAATTTTGCTCTGTTCCCTGATGCTTCGAACACCTGTTCTGTTTGGGGAAAAAAAACTGAGTTGGTGCTGGTGGAGGAAAAAACTGGCCACCTAGTTTGGACTTTGGAGGGGGAAAAAAAGGAGTGTGAATTGGTTCCCATTTTTTCTCATGGCCAGGTCATGTTCGCTTGAACTTATCAGCTAGAATCCACAGTATTTTTCTCTCACAACAAATCAGTTTCAGCCGGCTTATCAGCCGACTTTAATACCAGCCGAACATGCCCGATAGACTGCAGAGAAGTCTGAGGTGGAGATGCTATTTCTCTGCCTGAAATAATTAATAATTCCCTTGGAAAATTACTGGGCAGGTTAAGCTTTATTTTATTTCTCTGCCTGCCACTGGCATGTACTATAAATTGGCTGAATACAGCAGGGAGGAAGCATATGCAGAGCACAACGCGATCGAGGAGGCAGCAAAAGGTGGAATTGAAGGGCAGCACATGCGTATGTGACCGAGGGATGCATGGGGAGGGCGGCGCGGCGTCGGCGACATTGATAGATCATTTATTTGTCGGCACCGGCGTCGTCGGAGTCGGCAGCGTCGTCGTCGAGGAATGGGTAGTCGGTGTACCCGACGACGGGGTCGGAGGTGTAGAAGGTGGTGCGGTTGTCGGGGAGGCGGAACCTCCGGGGCAGGTCCGGGTTGGCGAGGAACAGCCTGCCGTAGGAGACGAGGTCCGTGTACCCTTCCTCCACCACCTTGTTCCCCTCCGCCCGGTCGTACCCACCGGCGGCGATGAAGGTTCCCCTGAACGCCTCCCTAAACGGCCGAAGGCGGTGCGGGATCTGCCTGCGCCCGTCGACGATGGCCATCCTCGGCTCGATCATGTGGCAGTAGAGCACGCCGACGTCGCTGAGCCTGTCCACCAGGTACCCCGCCAGGGCCTCCGGGTCGGAGTCGTGGCAGTCCATGTAGTCGGTGAACGGCGAGAGCCGCACGCCGACGCGGCCCGCGCCGACCTCGGCGGCCACGGCGCGGACGACCTCGAGCAGCGGTTGGGGAGCGAGCCGCCGTACTCGTCGTCGCGGTTGTTGGCGCTGTCCTTGAGGAACTGCTCGATGATGTACCCGTTGGCGCCGTCGAAGCCCGCGTCGATCGCGTTGCGCGCGGCCTTGCGGAAGTCGTCGACGATGGCCGGGATCTCGCTCGCGTGCAGGCGCCGCGGCGGGGAGAACTCCTCGACGTGCCCGTCGTGGCTGACCTGCGGTCGGTGCTGGAGACCGGTGCGGCGCCGCCGGGCTGGAACGCGGTGGTGGAGACGCGGCCGACGTGCCAGAGCTGGCAGAAGAAGACGGCGTCCACGATGGGCCGCCACGCGCGGACCTGCTGGGGTGTCCACACCCCCGGGGTGTCGGTGTAGCCCTGCGCCGTGTTGGAGACGCCCGTGGCCTCCGTGATGAGGTGGCCGCCGCGGGTGGCGCGCTGCGAGTAGTAGACGGCGGCGTGCGGCTGCGGCACGTTGCCGTAGGAGCGCTGCCGCGTCAGCGGCGCCAGCACCACCCGGTGCTGGAGCTGGAACTCGCCCATCTTGTAGGGGGTCAGCAGAGGAATGACGCTATTGTTGTTATCGGCCGGCAGCTCCGTCGTCGTCGTCGTCTCCATGGCCATGGGTGGTACGGTGTGGTGGCCTAACGTGCTTATTTGTTTCTAGCAGCTGACAACAATGGAGGAAAGGAGAGCGATGAGTTGAATGAGGAGAAATGGAGTGAAGTAGGCCCATTTATAGAGTTTGAGTGCAACCACAACACTCTCTACACAACAATGGAGGAAAGGAGAGCGACGGGAATGACGTACACTAGCAGGAGTTGAAGTATTATTGTGCAGAGCGAGATGGATCCACGATGCAGCTGGTCGCCAAAGACGGTGGTCGCCAAAGGCAGCTGCTCCCAGGTCCCAATTCAAGGCCAAGACACCCGACAGCCGGCGGCTATTGGCAGTCAACAACGAACTAACACCCCAGCGACGCCTGCAGCCTCGGAGGAGGCCACCACCACGGTTCGAATCCTTTGTATTTTTTTCCCCGAAAAAACAAATGAAACATCATCGGCTCCTCCCATCCGCGACTCGCGGCTAGGGTTCCCCGCCGCCGCTACGCCGGTGCCGCCCTGTGGCCTGGCCGCCTAACGAGCCTGGCAGGGCCACACCCACCCCCGCCTCCGGAAGGCGTGGTCCTGGCTGCGGCTGTCCGCGCGCGTGGGGAGCTGGGGCGCCGTCGTGCTCACGGCCGGGCGACCAGAAGCTCCAACCGGTCAAAGTCATCGGGCTCCGGCACTCCACGGACGCGCGGCCGCGCCGGGTGGCAAATCCGTCTGACCATAGTCTTCCATTCGAGTGGATCCACTGAAGATCTCTCGTGGAATGGAGCACGTGTTGACGGTGGTAGGCAAGGAAGCCGAAGACGAAGGGGAGCTCAGCAGGTGCACATCCATGGAAGTGTTTCAGGGGTGAATGCGTTTGGTACGCTGACTGAATTCGTCTTTCATTTGATTGGATTAGTTGGTGTGTTGGATTTTCTCTCGCTTAAGTTGAACCAGATTGGAGGATGTTCTTTGGATTCCATTTATTTGGACATGGATTGTATACTCTTCGTTCAGTTCCGTTTCCCGTTATTCTATCTACGAGTCCAGTTATTCTGCAAAGTGAGTGTTCTGATCACAAGCTATGTTTTTTATTAGGTACTGTATAATGGGGATGTTACGACAGGCTTCTCTTCATAATTTTGCACTCACGGAAGGTATTAGGAGGACAGAGGTCTTCTCCAGTTGTTCATGGTGATGAAAGCATACAGACGCCTCACTACTCTGTTCTATTATGGACAATACATTCTCAAATTTCACCTGGTAAGCACGAACAAATGCCGTGGACATGACTCATACTCGTGCATACAGTTTCTTTTCAATCAATTGCATTTGATTTGTCATGAGGCTCCAGCGCCACTGGTGAGGACCTTGCGGCGGCGTACTTCACTGCCGGCGCCGTGTGGTGGGGGCCGTGAGATGCGAGGACCTGGCGGCGCGCCATGTCAGGGAGCTTATCAAGGGGTGGACATTAGGTTATGTATATAAATATAATACTATTCAACAATTTTTTGGAGTGGATATTAGGTTTCTTGTTGAGATGAGGGATGCATTCATGATCCAGGTTCTTGAAAAGAACGATGATTCAGTTGTTTGGAGTAAATTGGTGAAATTGAAAAAATTGCTTCCCGTTGCCTTGGTTCATTAATATCTAATAGATGGAATTTGTCTTTAGAAGTTTTGAGGAATATAAAAGGTTTCAATAGTTGCATCCAGAATGGACCTTAAGTTAATAATGATGCATAAAAAGATATGCAGCTAATGCTTGTCTCCTCCGCTACTCACTTACATGTTGCGATCCTTCTGTACTAAAATCCCCCATCCAACTTCTAACACTGACTTGTTGATCCTTTTGTATATTTCTTTGGTTCAAGCTCTACAAATAAAGTTGTGTTGGCATTTAGGCATATTCTGAAATTTCTGAGGAATTGAACCTTAGGATCACTGGTAGCCATGTTGTGAATTATGATCACTGTCTGTGTAACATAAGCATCTATTCTTGACACGGATACAACTATTATGAATTTTCTTTGGGATCTTGGGGCAGCGTGATTTCCTTAATAGAAAACTCTAATGTGGTCTCTAATTCAACCATTTTTTCCTAAGAAATTCTACCTACAAGGTGAACAAGTTGAGAGAAAGATTGAGAAGAGACATTAACTTATGTCATTTAAATGTCAGTCCCTTTTTTATCGAACAAGCAAGACCATCCATATGAGTTTTTTTTTTATATAAAAAATATTGACAAAGATAAAGGCATAAAGCTGTTAGATACTTTGCACCCACTATCGCCCAAGTTCATGCTTGAACCCTATCCTCCTGATTGCAGCCTCCTTTTTTTTTTGCTGGTTTTGCTGTTTTTTGTTTGTCTACTTATTTTAACATGTAGCTTTAAAAATGTTCAGTTCAGTAGCTCTACGGGATTTGTGGAAGCTAAGAAATAATTTATACTTTTGGAATGATGTTTGGACTCCCTGAACCAATTCAACCAGTGGTTTTCAGTTTTTCTTTGGAAGCAGCAAACTCAAGACCTGAGATGATTGAGATGGGTGCTATGCAGTACATTTCATTCAGCCCGCTTCATGTCTGACTGCACAGGTTCCTATGAAAGTCAAACATCCATTTGCGAGTTCAAATTTCACATTACAGACATATTATAAGTACAAAGATCATTTCAAGAGAACTACCAGATCCATTGCCTATTGTGGAAGCTATGCGACCTGTGCATAAGTTTCGCTTGATTGAACATCACAGGATGGCACATACATCGGCTGAACTATACTGGATCCACCAGAAAGATGATGTACCTAGTTGTTGAGCCAAAATTGTCTCTGCAGGAAAGTGCATAGTTCAGACTTTAGAATGCGCAAACCTGCTGAGGCATCCCAGGCAAGAAAGTATACTTCTTTGATGTTGTTTTGAAATCTAGTAATTTCGCATAATGCCACAACAGAAAGTATATATGCACATTTAATGTGTGAAGGCCAAGAAGAGAAGGGAACTTACCGAAACAAGAGCCATTTTTACCATAAACAGCACAAGGGAACCCAACCTAGTAGACAAGTGCCTGCAGCTGCATCAACACAAGGAAGTTTGATAGCAGCAAGGTTCAGTGGAAAAAAGGTGCCCAGACTACAAATATATTTTAAAGATGCATCCTCCCTTCTCCACATCTCTCCTTAGTATTTCCAGCAGTACATTAACTAAAGAAGAGGACGGGTTAATTAGATCATTCACCAAAGTTAATCATAGCAGTGTCCTATAGCACAATTTTCAGTTCAAGAGGTTGGATAAGTCTTGGAATTCAGCATCTTTGTAAAAAAAAACCATCAGCACAACACAACCCCAGCTCAGAGCACATGACACACCCGTTTGATGTTGGGGTGGTTCTCGACTTATGTTACCCAAACTAACATGCCAGGTCATTATAGTGACAATGTATAAACTGGATTCTTTTAGAGTACCTATCCGTACTGCCTAATGTTGTGCTAATTTCACCTGGATCCAAACTTTGAGCAACCTGCAATGTTTGCATTTAAGTAAAGTTTAGCACCTCAACACACTCATCCTTGATCAGAAAAGGTTGCATGCAGGGAGAGGTACAACTATGGAAGAACGCAGGATATCAGAGATATCGAAATAGGGAATTACCGGCAAGACAATTCCATGGTTCTCCATGTGTTTATCCAAAAGATACTCTGAAAAAATGTGTTGCAGTTTGAGAAATGAGATTGCAAAAGGAAAATATGGCCTCAAGAATAGCTTGCAGGTCCATCTTAATCCACTACCTACTCTGTTTCCCACTCAATGCACATGCACCGCATGACAAAATAAGTTAAGGCCTGCAATGGGAGGATGCTTGTACTATATGTTTTTTTTTTTGTAAAGGGCGATATCCCGAATGTGCCCTTCGCCACCCCTGCCACTATCTCATCATTCGCCACCCCTCCACAGTGGAGGCGGAGGTGGCATTCGACCAGGTTGTTGCCTGTCAACAGAATAACATGCTGTCATAAAGTGCAGGTGCTGTAGAGAAATGGTCTCACATGACATAGCCATGGCGAGCATCGTGAAGCACCATCGGCATCATCCTCATTCCTGCCTGTGCTGGTCCTCTGCCTCATATCAAGACTCAGGAGCTCCAAAATGTTTCAACAGTGTTTTTTCAAAAATGAAAAAAAGTTGCAACATGGTAACAACTACTATATCTTCACATCAAAAATAAAAAAAAAGTTGCAATAGAGTAACAGCTACTCACAGTCTGACATTGGAACAGCTTTGCAAGATGTAATTTTTCAACTCACTCCATCCATTGTTCCTATAATACAGAATGTAAATTACTATTGGTCAACTATTAATCATGTCTGTGAAAAGTAGTACATGAATGCAAATACATATAAGCATGAGGTGCAGTATTCCTAGTTCAGTAAAAGCATTGCTGATCCTAGCTAGAAACTTAGAACACAGATGTCCCATGCATTAGTTTTGACTCTAGAAAAATCACATCCCAACCTGATGCTAATATGATGCTTATAATTGCTAATGCAGCATGAAACCACTTGCAAAGCACAAGCAAAACAACGACATGGACACCCAACCAATGCCACATCTTCAGAGAAGCGTGAGCAGTACTGAAATATACCACAACATGTACATCATTTGCAATCATGATAAATTCATAAATTGTTCACCTAAATTACAAAAGATGCATCAGCTCCCAGATCATGATTATTAAATTTGTTCACCTAAATTGGGAACAAGAGGAGCCCCCAGATTATGACAGATGTGATGGAAGGTATAGCAAGAAACATTGAATCTGAATGACCATTAAGCATGTACAAGAGGACTGTGAAGCAAGTCCTGCGTTTATAAACTTTTAAAGCCCATAACTCATAAGTGAATCAAAAGTGTAAGTATGTTGATAGAAAATAGGTTCACTTTATAAATTAATTCAGAAGCACCAACAGTTGGAAAACTGCTAAGTGATTTTATGATCTTCTCTATCATGATTGATTTTAATATCCATCTCAG